TTAAAGGCAAAGGACATATCTCATAAACTCTGCATCCCTTGCAGCCCCTAGTAGACATAGTGATTGATTCACGATAGTTGGTAGGTGAATGTGTCCCATGTTGAACAGCCATGTTCAAAAATAACTGATTAACAGGGGAAACCAAGTCAGGACTCCCCATCTGGCCCTGTGTCGGGCACGTGGATCAGCCTCTCAGTATCTGCAAAGAGAATTTTTTTTTTTGGTCTTTTTTATCTTTTCTTGTCATGAGCAGCTTCCCTGGCCCCTGATGGCTTGGAATGAATATCAGCCCGCTCCTAATTCCAACCTCCTTCAACTCTGTCCCTACTACCTTTCCTGGACATTTGTGTCTGGATTTGTGACTCACTCACTAGCTGGAGAGCAGCTACAGCCACCTGCAATGGAAACATTTGCAGATGTTCTGAGAGTAAAGTTTTCTGAGCATCATCTAAGGGGATGGTGGCATTGATGTGCTTGATGTCAGCTGGCTTCACCAGTGAGTGCCTCACAAGCAGTTAGGAATTCAAGTTCTTCTCTCCCCCTAGGAAAGGTCACTTTGCCTAATTTCCTTCTGTCTTGGTTGAACATTGACAAATTTGTTTTTGTTGCCTTCTGGCTCGATCATTTTTCAATTATAGTTTGTCCCCATAGTTCTAGCAGAAGGTCAATGCAGGTCTCTTCTTGATCATAGATCCACATTTATGAAACCCTAATTAGGCATTTCCTTTAGCTGCTAATACAGATTACTTGGTGGGATAAATCTACAGACCATAAGCTCAGTAGGAACTAAAAGACTGTTAGGAGGCCCAATTAGGAGCTCACCAGGCAGCTCCCAATCATTCTTACCTCTGAGTTTGGACTCAGGTTGTTCCTCTCACCCAGAATCCCTCTCTTTTCATTTTGGAGAATATAAATATTGCCATCTTTTGCAGCCCATATTAAAAGCAGATAAGATGTATCCCTTTTCAAATTTCAAATTCTGATGTTCTTTCCTTCTTGCTTTTACTTTTTAGTACTTAAAGTGGCAAGGAGACAAATGTACATCCTCATAGTCTGAGGATAGGAATATAAATAGTTACAATATTTTGCAAGGAAAAAAAAAGTTGACAATATGTATCAAGAGCCTTAAAAATAACCCCAATCTTTGACCTAGAAATTCCGTTTCCAGACATCTTTCCTAAGGATATCATCAGAAATGCAAACAAATATTTATTCACAAGAAATTAATTACAGCACCATTTGTCATAGTGGATATAAAATTAGCATCTGATACTAAAGGAGGAGTTAAGTATATTATAGTATTTCCATATCATATAGCCATTTGAAATGAATTCTGTGAAGGTATTTTCATGCTGATGTTAAGGGGTACATGTAAACTTTCAAACTGTCATACAGTGTGATTCAAATAGACCTTCCCCAGGCTGGGGCTGGGGCTCAGTGGTAGAGTGCTTACCTAGCATGTGTGAGGCACTGGGTTAGATTCTCAGCACTGCATATAAATAAATAAAATAAAGGTCCATCAACAACTAAAAAATATTTTTAAAAAAATATACCTTCCCCAACTGTTGCTTCCCAGGATGTTTATAGGAGTGCTATAGGTAGAAAAGTTCAGTCTCCAGCGAGGCTGAAGTTATCACAAGCATGAACTTTGAGGCTGCTGGGAGCCTTGGGTGTATGCTAGTGGGAAGGGGAAAGCCACTCCACCCACCCAAAAGTGGCTCAGCTCAGCACACAGGGTCACTCTTTTAATGCAGGACACCACAGCAGCTGCTGACAAGTGGAGCATGATTCAAAAAGCTGGAAGAAAAACACCAAGGAAAAAATTGTAATAATGAGAAGGATTACTAGTGCTGTGATAATATGAAATTATTCATATTGCCTCTTCCTGGGAATTTTTTGGTATTGTCTTATAAAAGTGCTAAGTGTTGTGAAATTAACGAAAACCAGAGCGACCTTCTCCATCCAGCTACTGGAGACAGGGGCACTGTAGAGTCAGGTGGAACGCAGAGGCAACCTGCCTATCTCACGAAGAATGGCACCGCCTTGGGGGTGACAATGGGCCCAGGATTGGGGAGCCCTCAATACTGCCTGTTGGCTTGTACCTCCTGCAGGTTGCAGGATATGATCAGGAGCACCTCACTGTCACGTGGACTTCCAGATGCCTCTGGGGACCTCCCCAGGATGTGAACCATAGTTTGTCCTCAATTGCCAACCCCACACCCAGGCTGCATTGGGTTTCATTGGATTGAATCTTTATTCAAATATTCTTAGTTCCCCAATCTTCCACCAGCCTAGACAGACTTCCCTTTGTGCCACCCCTACAACCCAAGATCACCTCTCCCTGGTCACATGCCCAGCCCAAGATTCCTGTACCAAATCAGGGTCTGGACCAAGACATCCTGGAGAAGAGGAGTGTCACCTGAGTCAGGGCTTCTCACTTAGTGTCACAAGACTTCAGAGTGATGCTTCTGGACCCTCCCAAAGCCTCCTAAAATATTCATCAGGCTTTATCAGGCTAATGGGCTTCAAAAGGAGTAATTTTCTGAGACATGAGACAGGACAATATAAAAAGAACATTAAGGGAAAAATTCTTATTCCAAAATGAAAGGAATAGATCATTTAGCATCCCTATTGGTGTTATCTATTCATGAGAAACAGCACATTTAATCCATAGTGGGATGTAGGGAGGGCTTTGAGCCTCACCTTAGGGTCACCTTCATGCGGAACTCATCTGTCTGCCCTGCCACAGACAGCAGGGGTGATGGAGACCAGGGGATGCAGACAAGATGTGTCAGAGGAGGACTCCATGGGGTGCAGAGGGAGAATGGCAGAGTCCAGCATGACTCCAAGGCACAAGGAGGGCAGAGGGAGGAGGGTGACACTGTCCCAGAGTCCTGCTGCCTTCATGCTTCCTGTCTCCTTCCCAGGATGTACTAGTCTTGGCTTTGATTTTGGATGATGCTCTAGAAGTTCAGCCTCTAGAGGTCAGGAATTATAACGGTAGCCCACTCCCCCACATTTCTACTAAGCCATTAAAACCAGTCCCCAAGCCTGAAACCAAGAGTCTTGCGTGCTGCAGGCTGTCAGGACTTATGTGACAGTGCCCTGCCCTGAGTTTAGGCCAGGAGGGTCCAATAGAGATCCTGCTTCCCTGGGTGCTCCAGGGTAGGGACAGCTGAGTGTGCTGGGAAGACTCTCCCCGTCAAATTTGATTTTGCTTGAGTTGAAAGGGCCAATGGATGGCAGCGGCTTCTCAGGGAAGCCCTTCAACAAAGACTGAGGTTCCGATTCTTCCAGGTCTTGCACTTCTTCCTCTTTCTGTGTTCATTGCCTCTCTGATCACTTGATTTCCATTTCTGTGGCCAATATACCTGTGATGAACAACTTACGGGGAGGAAAGGTTAAACTTGGCTCGAGTTTCAGAGGTTTCAGTCCATGGTGACTTGACCCTGTTGTCTTTGGGCCTGTGGAGAGGCAGAGCATCCTGGTGAGGAGCTCCTGGTGGAAGCAACTGCTCACCTCAGGGCGGCGAGCAAGAAAAGAAGGGCTGGGGTCCCTTCACCGGCATGCCTCGGGTGACCTACTTCCTCCAGCTAGGCCCCCCACCTCCTCCAGCTCCCACCGTCTCCCAAAAGTACCACCCACTGGGGAGCAAGCCTTTAACATCTGAGGCTTTGTGGGGGTGGACAAACCCTGATGTCTCTCACTCCCTTCTAATTCCTGATTCTTTCTTCATCTTTCCTTTTCTGGCCCCCCTCTCTCCTCCTCTCCTTTATCTTCATCTTTATTTATGCATTCAATTTAGCACCTTTTTAAAAAAAGAATCCCATCTATCCCCAAACTTAGACAAATGATTCCAACTGGACTTTTTCTCTACTAAAGAAGTAAGAGAAATTTTATTCAAAGCAATTTATGCTGACGCCCCTACCTGTCCATCAAAAATCTGTCAGCCCAGGTAGCTGGTAATGATATGACCAAGATTACCTGCCTTTAGCCAAATGAAATTGGCCTTATGTATCTGCAGGTTTTGCATGCGCAGATTCTACGACCAGCAGAGGGATCAAAGCTGTTGGGAAAAAATTGCATCTGTATTGAACAAAAACAGATGTTCTTGCTTGTCATTATTCCCTAAACAACACAGCATGACAGCTATTTATAGACCCTTTACATCGTATCGGGTATTATGAGTAATCTAAAAATGAGTTTCACTATGAAGGAGGATGTGTGGGGACCATATTTAAGTACTTGTTACGGTTTGGATATGAGATGTCCCACAGAAGCTCACATGTGAGACAATGCAAGAAGGTTTCTATGTGAAATGATTGAATTATTAAAGTCTTAACCTAATCAGTGAATTAATCCCCAGTTATGGATTAACTGAGTGGTAACTGAAGGCAGGTAGGGTATGGCTGGAGGAGGTGGGCATTGGGGTATATAGTCTGTATCTGGCAAAGGGAGTCTTTCTCTGCTTCCTAATCATTGTGTGAGCTGCTTCCCTCTGCCACACTCTTCCACCATGATGTTTGACCTCACCTCACACCCTGAGGAACGGAGCTGGCTATCTATGGACTGAGACATCTGAAACCATGAGCCCCAAATAAAGTTTTCCTCCTCTACAATTGTTCTTGTCCGTCTTCTAGATGCAGCAGCAAACAAGCTGACTCAAACAGCACTGCATCATTTTATATAAGGAATTTGAGCCTCTGCAGAGTTGGGTCCTGGCAGGGCACCTTGGAGCCAATCTCTGAGAAAACTGAAGGGCCACTCTACACACCTGAGGATTGGGTTCTCAGGTGTTCCTCTTCTCACTGTGTCTGACAATGAGTTTCTATAACCTCAAGCGTATGTGAACCGCCATGTTCCTTGAATTTTTTGCAATAACAATTGTTGACCCAGAAATGTCTTCCCCACCTTTCACAATTAGGATAAAGGAGGCTGTTTGATGTTGAGCTGCGTATTTGATTTTAACTCTTTTCTTTTTTATTTTTTCTCTTCATTAGATTTGTGACAAAGAGTGGCATTACTATGTCATCAATGTGGAGTTTCCTGTGGTTACGCTGTACATGGATGGAGCCACATATGAGCCCTACCTGGTGACCAACGACTGGCCCATTCACCCGTCTCACATAGCCATGCAGCTTACTGTCGGTGCTTGTTGGCAAGGTAACGCCAAGTGGAGTTCTTCTCCTGACTATGTTTGTGTGCAGTCTATGAAAGATGCTGATGGAAAAGCAAGTGGTGTAAGAGTTAGCTAGGAAAAAAAATGTTCTGCTAGCCCTGACTAATAAAATAGGTCTTATAAAACCTAAGTTTTAATCCAGACACTAAAGCTGTGTAATCAGGAAGCACTTGGCTTGAGACTAGATTTTGATTTTGGATCAACATGGGCAGTTTCAGGGTTGCCTCTGAATGGCTAATGCCATATATTCTCCTGGAATCTTATCTAGTTCCAAACTGAGGCTGCATAGAGCAAAGGCTAAATGTAGAATCTTCTATTGAAATTGCCAATTGGCTCTCTTTATCCCCACACAAGTGGCCCAAGTCCCCAACCCTCTGTCCAAGGGGACTTATGAATGCCCAGGGCTGTGGGGAGGAGTCGTCCACAGATCATAAGGCCATGGAGGTCATGCTCAAAGTCAGCTCAGCTCTAGCCCCTCCCTGGTGGGCCCTCTGTTCCCTCCTCATTTCCTCAGCTGTGCCTTCTAGTCCCCAATTCAGGATGTGGAAGCTGGAAAGCCAGCCCTCTGTGCATGCGTGCAGGTAACCTCCCTTTCACTAGATCTGCTGGAGTCTTCGCCTGTGCTGTCTCAAGGACTAGGATTCTCATGAGATAGCAGAGGGGAAGGAGGGTGCTCCCAGAAAAACAGATCAGCACTGTGAGATATGACCCGGCCTTGTGGCAAAGGATTCTGTGAAAATTCCCAAGATTTGTGACTTTAGACATTCACTGTAGGAGGATGAGGAGAGAGGTGGGATATCCTACGGTCGTCCCCTACTCTCCCCAGGGGACTGTTCCAGAACCTCATGCAGATACCAACATCTGCTGGTGCTCAAGTCCACCTAACCCATCAAGTCCCATCATTCCAGATAAATGTGGGGCTCGTATAAAAACAAATTGGGTGAGTTCTGGGCTGCTCCATGAAACAGGAGTAGGAAAGAGGTTCACATAGTACAGCCTGGGAGCACTTCGGAGGCCAAACCCAGGAAGGAGATGAAGCTAGAAAGGGAGAGGAGAGAAGATGGTTTTGAGCTAAAGTCACCTACTCAATCTGACATGTATCATCTGGTGGTGACATGCTCAATAGAACACAGGGATGAGAGTTTGTTCAATATGTGGTTTCCCAGGACACAGGAAAGGGAACAATATCACCAGGCAGGCTTCCATGGAACTCAATGGTATAGCAAGGCACTAAATTAGAGGGTGCATAGGAATCATCAACCACTGGACACAGCTGTGCTACAGTGATGGCCCTTGGTCTTGGTGTGGCTCAATGCTCCAGCTGGGATACTACTGTAGCTATGAGTGAACATAGCCAGGAGAATGCCCAGACGAAAAGAGGGCCCTAGTCATGTCGCCCATGAACCTTACCATGATGCTCCCTGTAGGCCCTCAAAGACCACATCTGGATCCCTGTCATCCTAACCTGCCACAGAAACCTGTCCCCAACTCTGCAAGGCCAGCTACAACCACCACTTCCTAGTCACATACCTGCTCCCCTGAGTGGGGGACCTGTCCCACCAAATAAAAAGTGGTTTTATAAATAATTGAGATGATCCTTGAATCAGTTACAGTAGGCTAAGTTGTGCTGCAATGATAAACAAGCCCCAATTCTCAATTAATTAAAATAATTCTAACTTCATAGCCACTGCAAATCAATAGGGATCTTCTCTTCTCTGCTCTATCCTCAGAGCAGAATCCAAGCAGACAGAGCAGCCATGTTGCTGAGTACCTAAAAAGAGGAAAATAAAACATAGCAAGTCGTAGAAAAGCTTTTAATGCTTCCAACTATCAGTGATCCCAATCATTTTTGTATTCCTGTTTTGTTTTATTGGCTAAAGCAAGTCACAGCTAACTTTCACAGGGCAGGGAAGTGACAGTGATGATATATCTGGAAGAAAAACTGAAAATGTTTTAGGAACAAATAATTTTGATAAACACGACAGTGTATCCACCTGGTCAACAAGTATTTATTTGACTCTCTTTCTCATGTAAGAATGCACCTACCCTTTCCTAAGACAGACCCAACGTCTCACCAGCTACTGTCTCCAGTTTTAACGTCCAGGCTGCCTGAGTGATTCCTGGTAATCTATCCAAGTGACGTGCAGAGGAGGTCTATAGCAAGCCAAAATATGTCTTCACTTGATCAGGAGACCTATAAACCAATAAAACAAATTATTTACAACCACCATGGCTACCACACCTTCCCCTCAACACACACACACACACACACACTGGAATGAGGCTTAGTGAAATGAGCATTTCCACTAAGAAGAAGAAAGTTAGAGAAACCAGCAGTGTTGGTCCATAGCAGTTCTGAAGTCCCTTTTGGCAAATGTGGTGAAGATGGAGAATATTCTTCACGGCCCTAGACACCATTCACTGAGAGATGATTCCTTTTCCAGTATTGCCACAGGCTACATCTCAAGAGGGTATAGTCACTCTATAAATACCTAATATGATACATGGTTACAATTTATTTAAAAGTCATGCCACAAAAGTTTTGGAACATGAAAACCAAATATGCATCTATTTTAAAAGAATATGGTAGAAAGAATTCATGTTGGGTATTCAAATATTTCTGGTCCTCTTTCCAGATATATGCTGGGACCACTCTTACTTGGAGTCAGGTGTGGCCACATATCTTGCTTTGGCTGCTGAACTGTGAATGGAAGAAGGGCCTTATGTCATTTCCTGGTGGAAAACTTCAGAGCCAGTGTTACAAGGTGGCCCTTTATACACAGGGGTGTGTCCACTCCTCTGACAGAGTGTTACTAGTCCCAATGAATAAGCAAGTGAACCAAGGCTCTGAAAAGGACAGAAGTTGACCCAAAGCCACCCAGTCGAACTTCCCCACCCTGGTCATATCATATACTCACATGTGCCTATGCTCTTGATTCTGTGGCTCATGGTCCCCTGTTGGTAGTTGATCATTTTGTCGATGTAATTATGTGTCTGGGAGGAGATGAGGGCTGATGTGCATTGATATAAATGCTGTAAACCCTTTACCTGTGGAGACGGGGACAGCCTTGTAATCAAAATAACATGGGGACTTGCATTGCTGGATCCTCCTCTAAGGTTCCCTGCAGTGAAAAAGGGTTCAGCCTTTGGAGTCAGAAAGAAAACTGACTTTAAGTCAAATTCCAGCTCTGCCACTTGCTAGCTATGTGGACACTGCAGGATCCTTAACTTCTGTGAGCTTCTATGTTCTAATCTATAAAATAAGAGTAAAAGCTGCCTCACACGGTTATCGTAAGGCCTAGATGCAGGACACATCGTGTATGCTTGCTGTGTACCATTTAATGCACAGATTTAAAATTATCTCCTGGTCTCTTCTCCACTCCCTTTTCTATTCCTTTCATCAAGACCCCACATTGCAGACCTGGCACATCTGAGCCGTGGTCCCCGTCTTCCTGTCTTCCTGCCTGTCCTGACTTTCCTCCTGCCCCCCAGGACTAAGGCTTACACACAGCTCTGCCCTCTCAGCTGCATCCATGACCCAGAAGCAAAACCAGGGACACTGCAGAATAACCAGTCAGAAGACAAATGTCGGAAGCAGGGGTTGAAGTGGGCAGGGATCCCGTCAGGCCGTCTTTTGGGCCATGGAGACTTGGATATTTTCTCTGAGAAGAATGACGACACATTAGAAAATTAAGATCCCTAAAAACCTTTAAAATTGGAAAACTGTGTTTTATGGGGGGAGTAAGTTCAGAGGGAAAGGAAGGGAGGTGACAGAAAGGAAGGCTGGCACAGGCATGATCAGGGTTGCCAGTCACCTAGGTGGACCAGAGGAAGTGGAGAAGGGGCAGGGAAAGGGTTGAAACTCAAGCCTGGCATATCATGCTGCCCGGATAAGGAGTCTCCACTCCCATGAATGCTTATGGCCTTCTTGGAGCCATATTTTTTCTAGAACGGAAACAACAAGGATCTTTCAGCAGGACGCAGTGCTATGAACTTAATGGCCTGCGATGTGGTCCTCATCTCCGCGTGTTTCCAAGCCTTCTGCCCCCTATTTATGCGCATGGTCCAAGCCCTCCGTGGACACTTCTAATTGCCTTTGGGCCTGCAATTATGGGGAGCTTTTCAGGTGCTTTTGAGGTTGGCAAGGAAACTGGTGCTCATTTGTGAAGTTTCCAATCAGAGTTTAACAATGGGAACAGAAAATGATGTAAGAGCAGCTCCTTGGTGGTTGTCCTGAGCCCTGGCCCCAGCACCGTTGCTGGGCAGTGTTCGCAGTCCCAATTAGCCCACCATCTCCTGTTAGCAAATTTGAAAGCCAGTGCAGTCGGTGAAATTTCATTTTCTTCAGTATTTTTCTAGTAATTAAAAAAAATGAGATACCATTTATACTTAAGAAATGCCGCCGAAGAAGCCGAGAACATGGAGCTTCTCATAACTGTAGGAAATGGCTTTCCCAGTCAGAATAGATCTTGAGCATCACAAAACAGCTTTCTTTCCTCTGCACCGCTGACACACACCACCTTGCCATCATCTCTGTGTTCAGAGTGCCCTGGTACTCTCAGGATGGAGCCAGACTCTCTCATGAACCAGCTCATTCTATCCCAATTCAGATACTGTTGGCTCTCTACGAATACCAGGGTCCTTGTTTCTCTATGGGTTATAAATGAGTCTGTTTTCTGTTCTTCTAATAAAATAGCTGAGGTTGGGTACTTTATAAAGAAAGGAGGTTTACTTAGCTCACAGTTCAGGAAGCTAAAAAGCCAAACAGCATTGTGCTGGCTCTGGTGAAGGTGGCTGTAGCCACGTCACCTCAGGGTAGATGTCATCACAGTGGTGGATCAAGTGCAGGTGGGCAAGATCACATGGCAAGAGAGAAAGGAGCTAGTCACAAGACCACTCACTTAAGCCCTCCCCCTCTTAAAGCTCCTACCACATCTCAGTATTGCCACTTGGGGTCCACACTTCCATCCCAGGAACCTGTGAA